ACAGGACAAGAGGCAACGGGCAGAAACTGAAACACAGGAAGTTCCATCTGAACCTGAGAAAAAACTTCTTCACTGTGAGGGTGACAGAGCATTGGAACAGGTTGCCCAGAGAGGTAGTGGAGTCTCCTTCCCTGGAGATATTCAAAACCCGTCCGGATGTGATCCTGGGCAATATGGTCTAGAGGACCCTGCTTGAGCAGGGAGGTTGGACTAGATGATGTCCAGAGGTCCCTTCCAACCTCAACGATTCTGTGATTCTGTGATTCTGTTATTTTAGCATCATAATGATGAAGAAACTACCTTCTTAGATGTCAAGCTAATCCCCTCTTGCATTTTGTCTGTTCTTCTCTGTAGCCTTCTACACTACAAGAGCAACACTTCTATCCCCATTTCTAAGCTTATGTGAGACACTCGGCAAAGTTTTCCTTCAGCTATGACAGCCTAAAATTGCAGCCAGAAGGTGGCACTGCTTCCAAAAAGCATCCTCTCTTCACCACTAGTTCCTGTCCTGCAGCTCTCCCCAATCGCTTTAGAGCTAGCACAAAAGATACAGCAGCGCAAGAGCAAGAGCCAGCTGCCAGAGCCAAACTAGATTTTCCCGTCAGTGGCCAAAGCATTCTACCAACATACAACATATGTCTTGGAAGGAGGTAAATGCCGCAGGGGAGGTCTGTGAACTTTTATAAAAGCGCCTGAAATAGTTTCTCTCCCAAAGAGACTCAGGAGAGCTCATTATCTTTTCCCAATATGGTGAGTAGCAATAGTAACTGGCGAGAGGACCTGCAGTTTAGGAACAGCACATGAGCCAGGCTGCTTTCTGCAGTCCATCCTGCCTGCTTCTTTTACTACACTTTATGGATCCATTGTCCATTATTTTTCCCAGTCCCTTTTAAACCTGCTGGTACTGTCTGCCTGCCTCCTGTGGCAACAAATCCCAGAAGCTCGCTATCTGCAGTGTAAAGTACCACCTTCATATAACTGGTAGATCTGTTTCAAGAGATGGAAGAGTGCCCCCTAGATCTAGTATCGTCAGATTTTGGTGAATAGTAGTTCTGCACCCACTCAACTCACCACTTTCAAGATTTTGTAAACCTTGACCATATTCCCTCAGTCTTCTCCTCTCCAAATTTAAGGATCCAGCCTTTTTAGTCTCTCCTCACAAAACAGCTTCTCGATTCCCTTGATTCCCCTGATTAGTTGCCCTTCTATTAACTCCAGTACGTCCTCCCTCCAGAAGCCAGAATTGCACAATACTGAAAATGTGAATGCACCAGTTTCACGTGACAGCCACGTATGCGTATGTGTAACCACCCGTCCTACTGTCAATACCCTTGCATAAGATGCCCAACATTTTGTTTGCTGCTCCACACTGTGCCAATGGTTTCAGAGAACTGTCAAAGATAACTTTGCTGAGTTGTAACTTTCAGTTACAAGTTCAGCACCATGTACATTTAGAGAAGTGATTTCAATTATTTTCCCATAGATGCAAACATCTTTATTGAAGCTTATCTATTGCTGTTGCCCATAAAAAGATCTCATAAAATTAAGAAAGGAAGTTCCTTGCCACAGGCTCAACATCAGACTACTTGAGAAAGCTCAGTATCATCTGCAAGCTTGGATGATTTAATTATTCATTCCCTCCTCTGAGTTACTGCTAAATTTGCTGAACAAGACTACTTGAGGACTGCCTATACTAAAATTCATCCTCCTCCTGAAAGGTGCCCATTAAGTCTTACCCCTTGCTTCCTATCCTGTTCAATTCATAAAAGTAACCCTTATGTTCCTCTGGAAATATTGTTATCACTTGAAATTGTACTCATGCGTTTCTCCATGTAAGAAAATACTTACAAAGATTATCAAAAGGAGGCAGTAAGCCTGCAAGTTCTGTGCAGAGATGGGAGGGGCAACAACACAACATTCCCCTTCTCCATGTATTTACTAGCCACTCTCTCACCATTGCACCTCTTTCAAAGTTAAATAAAACCAAAAGCAGTTTAAAGCCAGATAGTCCATCAACACATTTGAGCAAATGCAACTTGAAGTATTTTTTATTGCAAAGTAATTACACAAATGAGCGTTTAAAAGTACTTTGTCTTAAACATAGCTTTACACAGCTCTAATCTGTTTAAGGCCTTTTTTTAAAAAAAAAAAAGTTTTAGGACTCCTATTGCTTAACAATAAAGCATTACATTTCAATTACCATGATCATTTCAGCCAAAGCATAATGCGTAGCTTGCCCTTGTCTATTAATGTATGTAGAGTTCAGTTTTAATAGTTGTGTTTATCTGGCTGATAAAAATTTAAGAGGAAGTTTAGAAAAACTAAAAGCTGATTTATTGCTTATTCAACAACTGAAGCTGATTCTACTTCTTAGTTTATCTAAATATATACACAAACCATGTAAGAAAGTTTCAACATACATTTAGAATACCTGATTTTTCAACACAATTATTAATATAATTTCAACATGAGTTCTGAAAACTAACAAATATTTTCCTTCTCCCTCCCTAAAGCATGCATTTATCATCTAATACTTTATGCCATCCCAATTCTCAATCTTTCCATGATACATGCACTTAACCTTGTCAGCAATACACATCTGCTGTCTCACTGGCATCTTATTCCCCTACTTTTTCCAAGCACCTGATTTTTTCTTTTTCTTTCTTTTTTTTTTTAAATGTCTATATTCCCAACTGCTCCAAATAATCTGCAATATACAAATTACTTGAGAAATACCACATAGGTATTTATTAAGTCTAAATATGTTCACTTATATCAGTAATAGCTTCAGTTACTGAATGAGCAACGTAACAGCTCATAACTATACAGTCTTAAAATCACTATCGCCTTTTTAACAACAGCACATAGCCAGTTCCTCTATACGTGTTTATCAAGGACAGCCTCTCATACTTTTACTAGCTTCTAATCACTTTGTAATTCCCAAACACTATACGGTCATTTGAGATTGCACATACCTATCCTTCCAATAAGTTTATCAATCAACATAACTGCATCTTTATACTTTATTTTTTCTATACAAAAATATTTGTTTATATTATTTAAAAATGTAAGCATGCAATAACACTTAAAGATTGGCATTTGGCTAAAGTATTACTGTTAGAAGGAATTCAAAAGACTATTGCTCTGTTAATACTACTCAGCAATATAGTCACTACAAATCCACTTGTGTTGTGTGAACTTGTACTATGGACACACATGTAGCATCTGCTCAGTTGCCTTGCCAAGTACTCCAGTGCTCAGTTTTCAGTCTACATCACAGAGAATCCGAACTTCCTACATTATTACGCTGTGACCTGCTTACCTAAAATAAATAAGTACATGTCACCTGTGGTGTCATTTCTCTGCTTGCACATGATGCGACTGTATATTAGGAGAAACTACCACCCCCAGAATATGTCTGTTTTTAGTAATGCTTTGCCCATCATTCCCCTGCTCTGGGTTAGGCTTTTTCTCTCCCCTCCTTTTTAGGAGTGAATTCACGCATTATTTAAGAAAATCCAATTTCAATTAACTTATTTAAAAAGTTATAGGTTATTATGAGTTAAAGTAATAAACAAACATCTATAAGGCCTTTGGCATATATATAGATAGATAAATAGATATATAATCCATGCAATATGTCCATACAGAAGGATTACTTTTTTAGTTAACTTGGTATGGGAGAGGCAGATTCAATTTCCAACAAAATTACTTACCTCCTTCCCTTTGCTTTTTTAATTCCTGTATTATATCATTGTACACACAGGATAAAAGCTCCTCCTGGGGTTTTGTTCCATCCAAATAAACTAAAAAAGAAAGAAGCTTTCACATGAGTTCTATGTCAATTATCTATAATAGCAATTAACAAAATTTTCAGTAGTCCTATGGGTGCAGTCACAGGAGGTAAACAAAATAAAAGACGAGCACAGTAGTCCCTTTGCTTCTGTCCTGAATTCAAGTTAAATCTTAAAAAAAAAAAAAAAACCACAAATAAACAAAAAACACCACCACCTAGCATAATGGAAGGGTACTCCCGAAAGTCTCCAGAAAGGTAGAGGTTGTAACATTGGGACAGTAGAGTAACGGAATAAATAATTCAACAGAAAGATCCTTGCACAGTGGAAGACCTTGCGTTTTCCCTCAGCTTTTAGGGTTTGAATGAGCAATGCAAGGAGGGGCAATGCGGCCCCCACTCTCACTGCACAGTAAGGAGTACCCTGGTCTGCACACTGATGATACTTCTCTTCCCTCCTTCAC